ATTTCAAAGCTTTTGAGGTCATTAATGATATTCTTTAGTTTTGTAACTTTTTAGTCAAGAGGTCATAGAAAACCATTGATTTCCGCTTGACAATTAGGTTTCTACTAGCTTTCCTGTTTGACTGTTTTTCCACACGTTGTGGGACAATTCCTAGTTATAGGCTATGTACAACTAGATGTTGTGTGATTTATATATCACGTTTGAGTACGTCCATACATCATCAACTTATGAATGTTTTTATCGATGTATATTTAACTGTTACACTGTGAATGCTCTAAACATTTTTATTTGCTAACCTTCATGAGAAGATTATTATGGTGTTATTGGGTTTATGAATGAACTAAATTTAATGGAAATCAAAGAAAGGATTTTGTTTATACAGACTTGATTTAGACTTGCATGGAGAAAGAATACTGGACAACCTGTGTTGATAACATATAATAGTAGAGAAGTTAACACATTTCTGCCTGCAGACACCACCGGAAATATTAATCAAGTATCATTAGCAGGGCTTTTGATACATTAACTGAACTAATATACATGTGTTTATAGTGTGCTTTATGTAGTCACGATTGTAAAAATTCCATTTTTGGAGGGTGTTCAGTTTGTTTGTTGTTGTTGTTTTTTTTTTGTCTCTGGGCATAGCTTAATGGTTAGCATGCCCAGACTGTGAATCTGAGAGTTCATGGTTTGTGACCCATTGCTTCCAAAGCATACTCTGCACTTTAGAGCCATGGCTGTGCTATAAAAGTGAAAGTCAAATGTTGCTTATCGATCAGCCAAAAGTAGCCCAGGAGTTGATAGAGGGTGCTGCTGACTAACTGCCTTTTCTCTAGTCTATCAGTTCACCAAAAGTAGCCCAAGCATTGATAGTGGGTGCTGCTGACTAACTGCCTTCTCTCTAGTCTATCAGTTCACCAAAAGTAGACCAAGTGTTCATAGTGGGTGCTGCTAACTAACTGCCTTCTCTCTAGTCTATCAGTTCACCAAAAGTAGACCAAGAGTTGATAGTGGGTGCTGCTGACTAACTCCTCTCTCTAGTGTATCAGTTCACCAAATGTAGACCAAGCGTTGATAGTGGGTGCTGCTAACTAACTTCTCTCTCTAGTCTATCAGTTCACCAAAAGTAGACCAAGAGTTGATAGTGGGTGCTGCTAACTAACTGCCTTCTCTCTAGTCTATCAGTTCACCAAAAGTAGCCCAAGCGTTGATAGTGGGTGCTGCTAACTAACTTCTCTCTCTAGTCTATCAGTTCACCAAAAGTAGACCGAGAGTTGATAGTGGGTGCTGCTGACTAACTCCTCTCTCTAGTGTATCAGTTCACCAAATGTAGACCAAGCGTTGATAGTGGGTGCTCCTGACAAACGGCCTTCTCTCTTGTCTATCAGTTCAAAATTAGGGAAGTCTATATGCAGATAGCCCATGTGTAGCTTTAAGGAAAATTATGAAACAAACAAATAAAAAAATCATTTAGTGATTCTCCACTTTATTCATCAACAATTCCATGAACAGTAACATATACATAAGGGTGAAGGTATATTAACCTCATCCTCTAACTTTTTATATTTTTTTCAGTTTCTTTTTATATTATTTCTTTTTTATGTTGATTCATTTCTGAATAATCACATGAAAAAAAAAATATATATATATACAGAAATATATGTACCTCATTTTGGAACAGTCACTCAGAAGATGTTTTAAGAGAGATGATGGTATATATATTGGTAGTTGACTGCTTATTAGTATATTGTATTAGTAAAGAATATTCTGAAACTTTGGAGGAGGGTGGGCTGGTAACGTAAAAGAAAACTAGTAAGAATAAAAGAACATTAAGAAGCGTGTGGCTGATTTACTGAAAACGTTTGGAAAATGGGGGAGGGGAGGGATAGTAGGTTAGTAGGTAAACATGAAGTCATGGATGTAAATGAGAAACGTTTAGGAGGTGGGTTGGGCATTGTGGATAAACAGATCTCATGTTACTAGAGCTAAAACTGGTTCCCTGAAACACTGTTCACCTGACCTGAACCTCATTGTACATTTCTTTTGTCTACAAAAAAAAAACAGACAAAATAAATTAAGGAATTAGCATCTTGTGAATCTGAGGAACCTCTAAATATCTAAAAAGCTATGATTACCTGTCTGTTGATCACAATATTTAATACAGGTATAAAATTTTTCTTAATCAAACATGTAAGGTGCATTAAGCACACAACAATCATATGTTTAGCACGAGAGACTTAATTCAAGAGTCTTGTCGTTGTCAAACAGTTACAGTTACTTTAAGTGCACAACAAACTTGTGACCAAAACCTTTTTCATCAGTTTTCACATTAATGTTTCTTTATTTTTTTACATTTGTTGTTTTTTTTCTCTCATTATTTTAATAGGAACATTTTGTACCTACTCACAACCATGTATGGATGGTTCGTATTTTTGTCAGACACCTTCACTATTTTGTAAATAGTTGTCTATTTCAAGATGGTTTACCGTACATGTATGATGCTCCAAATCCAATGGAAGAATTGAAGTAGTATGTATAAAAAAAAAATCATAATCTCTGCTTTTAAAAATCAGGTTAAAATTGTTATTTTGTAATTATTGTTGTTTTAATCGCACCTCTTTTGTTAGAATTAAAGCTTTCTCAAGAACATTATCATTTGATTTTGTTACATTTAATTAACTGCCATTGTACAGGATCTAGAATTGGTGGTTTAAATATTTTCGTTTAATTTGTTAAACATTCTTTGCTGGATGATTTTGGATTTATATTTTTCTCCTCTTTAGTAATATAAAAATATAGACCATCTTTATTTTACAAGATCAATTGGTAATATGTGTTACTTCTGAAAACAGATCAGATATTTTACACTCACCTTTCATAGCCCTCTATACATCAGTTGACAACATGCGACAAACAAGCTCATTGTGTTATTGTTTTCTTTTTAAATTAGAAATGTTTACATATTCTATCTGATTTACTTAAGCAGCATTCAAATAGCAATATTTTATTAAAGTACAGGTGTTTTTGTTTGAAATGATTATTTATCAAGTAGTGTTTCATTTGTAGATGATGTGTGTGTGGGGGGTCTGGAAGATCTCTCTAAAGTCAAGGTAGTTTTGTTTACAAAGGTTACAGTTCTTCGTCTCACCTATGAATACACGTATTCTCAGCTTTTATTAACCTAGAGCACATTTGGCCTCACGAAGATCAATTATTTATTCTTAGCCATCTTTCCAATCCACTAAAGTCTGGGTTCAATTCCCTACATTAGACAGTGTACAGACAGCCCATTATGTAGCCTCGTGCTCAAAATCAACATCATCATCATAGATTAATTATATGTTGAACTATTTAATTAGCTAATTAATTAACAGTCTCCATATGCATTCTTGCTCATTTGGCCACTAAATAAATAATTTCAATGCATTTATATTGAAATACATGGCAGAAAAAGGAGGGGGGAAAAAGTATGTTTTTGTCTTCTTTGGGCATTTTATTTCTCTTACTATACAACAGATATTTAATATTTTTTCTCATTTGACCCAAGATTGTTTCGATCTGTATATTAAAAGCAGAAAGGTACTTCTAGCTGATGTAGTTTAGGCACGCTAATAACTCAGAAACAGCAAAACTATCCATGCTGTATAGAATAACTTTTAGTTATCCACCAACTTTTTATATAACTTGGCTGTTGGAACTACCGTTTCTCTCCATCTGCTTAATATTATGATTTTTCATATTTTTTTTGTTTATAGAATTGTAAAAACAAAGTATGGTTTATAACTATGTTGTATTTTTATGAGTAACTTTATTAGAAGAGTAAAATAATCTTGTACAGTACAAGTTTTTGTCATGTTCATTATTTTAATTTTTTGTAAAGCTCCATCCTGCCTCACATGGTGCAGAAGAAACTTTATAAATTTTTCCGCCTTTGCTTTGACCGATGGCCTTGTGACAGCTCCCTCTCTTTTGTAAGTTAATGTTTAATAATTTCTTTCTGTTGTTACTCTACTTTAAATGTTCACTTCTGCGTAGCAAAGTTCACTGAAACTGTAGTACTGCGGTATTATTTATGGTTCACAAATTAGGAAAAACTAACATCATAAACAAATGTTAACCCTAAAACAAACGTTTTTTGATTCTGACATTTTGGGTAGAGATCCCTCTTTAGTTGAGTGTGTATGCTCTGTCTTTAGATGGTTACCTCTGCTCCAAATGTTAAGAAATTTTGAAATTTGTCTTTTCTTGTTATTTTCTTCCACATTTTTTGCATCGCAAAGTTCAAATTGGATCTCTTTTGATGCTTAGATCTACCTCCTGCCGAGCATCAATAACGATTTGTAATCAAACTTACTCTATCGCTGGTAACTAAAGTGGCAAGTAAGATAAATACACTCATTTACTAAAATACAAAAATCAAATCAAGAATGAACATTGTTTTTGAATTTGTATATTTTGATTAGGTTTTAAGTTTGTTTATAGTGTTAATATCAGTGCTAAAATTGTTGCTCTATTTCAGCCACTTGAAATGTGGCTGAGCTACATCCAGCCTTGGAAGTATATCAGTCATCGTGTAGGATCGCTTTCTGTTGACTCGGAGAAAGAAAATAGAGATGGGTTTGTGAATGTCAAGTGGTAAGTTGGATAACTTTCAGATGAATAGAACATTTGACTTGTGGTATGTTGAAGGGCAATTAAGTTAGGATGTTTGGTCTATAAACATGAATTGGTGAGTCGAGTGGGTTTTGTTGAGTTGTAAGTTGAAGGGCAGTTAAGTTAGGATGTTTGGTCTATAAACATGAATTGGTGAGTCGAGTGGGTTTTGTTGAGTTGTAAGTTGAAGGGCAGTCGAGTGAAATCTTTGAT